AGTATCTGAGAGGTTGCCACAAAGAGGAGGGGGTCAACTTATTTTTCAAAGCACCAGAGGGCAGGACAAGAAACAATGGATGGAAAGTAATCAAGGAGAGAAGCAACCTGGAATTAAGGGGAAATTTCCTCACAGTGAAAGCCATTAACCAGTGGGACAACTCTCCTTCAGAAGTTGTGGGTTTTTAAGAAGACACTGGAAAGGACACTTGTCTGAAATGGTATAGAATCTCCTGCTTGAGCAAGGGGTTGGACTAGAAGACTTCAAAGGTCCCATCCAGCTCTATTCTGATTGATTTATTGAATTAAAAATATGAAAGCGCAAACTTGACTGAAATCGGACATGCAGAAAAAGTCGAATTTTAGTCAAAAGGGAGATAATTATTTGATAAACAATAGAACTATGTACAGAGCAATCCTATTCAATATGTAAATTATATAAAATGTTGAACAAAGTAACTTCTTCCATTATTATGTTTTAAAGTCTTACATGCTATTATAGCTAGCCAGGGAGGCTGCGCAGGGATGATTTGTTCTGACCCAGGCTTTGTCAAACTTAATAAACACGAACTGAATTTAAAAGTAAAACCCTTTTTAATGTGACCTGGGAATTACTTGCACTCCCAGCCAAAACTAATTAGACACAATTCCTCCAGATAAGAGCATGCTTTTCAGTGCTGTAGAATGCTGCCAAGAAATAGAAGTCCAATTAAGGCTAATATAAACCAACCCAAAAATCCAGAAAAAAACCGACTGGAGTACAGAGCTTCATAAAGGACTTGGAGATTACTGAACGACCTTGCTTCCTGCAAAGCTCTTCGTCATTGAGGACTGACTTTTATCCCTGATGAAAGGGGCAATCACCTCCCATCTGTACTCCTGAGTCACTCCCTCTGCTTCAGCTGCTCTTGCCCTCTCGCAGTTCTGCGCACATGTGCACTGGGAACAGGCTCCCCGGGGTCCTCTGCTTCACTGCTGCCAGATTCTGAAGGCTCCGAAGGCAGCACCCCACTCTCAGAGGGTCCTGGCCCCATCCCTGCATCGGATGTAATCAAGTCCTTGCCGGACTTCCTGACTGGTTCCCTTTCATCCTCACTGTCCGATTCCTCTGCCGTCTGCACTGGCTGCCGGCGAATCACAACAGGATTGTGCAGTGCAAGATAGGATGTCTCTGACCAAATTCAAGGCAGAGATACCACCTTCCTACCATGAGAATTTCTCCAAAATTCCCCTTGGAATTAATGTCTAAAACAAACTTTCTTTTGTCACATTGAATCAGAACTGGCAGGAGAAAAAAAAAGAGTTCATTAGTATAGGAACATCTGTAAATTGCATTTGGGCCTTGATAAACCATGGCTAGTTAATGTATAGCAGTCTTCCTAAGCTGGTACTTTCCAGAAACACTGGACCCACAGCTTGGAGAGAGGTAGCCTACACAAGTAACTGCCAGACCCCAGGAATTGCACTCCTGGTATTCTGTATATCAGGAGATAATCAGGCTGAGATCACTTCTTCCTTCTCTGCCAAGAGCTGAGTCCTACCAGCATGCATAATAAAATAAAGGAACAATGCTGGACTACACCAAAACCCCACTACTTCCATCATCTCTTATGCATAAGCTTTTCCAATACCTTCTTCAGGCCAAAATAATTAATTGAACTACAACAGAATAGAATTCTTTATTCTATTCAACATTATTTATTTATTCTGTTCAACATTACAAAAATGCTGGCATGTTTACAGCTAGAACTTTACTCTTTTCAACTTCTGACTCCCGTTGAGAATGCATGCTTCTTGGCACAAAGAACCCCTCACAAATAAGAGGCACTGTTTATTATCCTCTTCCATCAGGCTTGTGTGCTTCGCATTCAAATGGCTTCAGAATTCAACACCATTGCTAGAAGCTTTTCCCACCCTAATAAAAGCTGGGTATTGCCAGCCCACGCAGTGAACCACAAAAGCCAAAGGCTTCATAAATATAAGTGTGGGCAAATTCAGCTCTATTCTAACAGCCGCCTTTTATTATAAAAAGTTGTAAGGTCCTCTGTTGTTGTTTTCTTCTGCTTTGCTTGCAGAGGCAAAAAAAAAAGACAATAAAACTCTGGATAAATACATACAGCTCTGGGAAGTTAGAAAATAAATATTTAGAATAGAAAAATAATCTGCAAAAGTACACAGGGGCTATATTAAAGTAGCTTTCTTTATTATGTACAATAAGGCAGTACATGAAATTGAATTGAACTCTTAAGTTAGAGTGACACAGAAGTGGGCTAGTTTAAATCCCCTCTTTCCTCTGAAGGTTTGAATTCGAAAATCATTTATTTTGTAAGTACTTTCTCCAGTGCCCAGGGAGATCTTTGGAATGAGCTCAACCAAAAAAGGAATTCGAGAACCTAGCACACCAAAGCCATACAAGAGGCACAAAATTTTCCCCTCTCCCTAGTTAGGTATATTTTAATTGCTTAGAATGAGGTCAGTTTTTAAACATTTATAAAAATAGGACTTTTTTAAATAGGAAAAAAAAGCAGAGAAATGACAACATAATAACAAGCCTTTTTGGAGCTTCTAAAATGTGTTAAGGTACATAGCAGCATGTGACATAAATTTGCAAATTTTCACTAGCAGCGTATCATAGAACCCGCATGAGTAACAACAGAATGCAATTGTGCAACGTGTAAAGGGTGTCAATTTTCTGTCATGGAATCCAGGCATTTGTTTGGTTGTTAAGTGTTATATTTATTCTACTGAAGCAACAGAAAAGCATCCTGTTTCTTGTTGGCCAAAGAATAACCCAACTTAGACATCAACAACAAATTCCCTGCACAGTGCCATGGGCCTCCTATTACAGGAAGTCCTTGACTTACAATGATTCATTTAGTGACCAAAGTTACAACAGCGCTGAAAAAAGTGACTTACGGCCATTTTTCACACTTACAACCATTGCAGCATCATGTGATCAACATTCAGCTGCTTGGCAGCTGGTTCACACTTATGACGGTTGCTGCATCCCGGGGTCACATGATCCCCTTTTGTGACCTTCTGACAAGCAAAGTCAATGGGGAATCCAGATTCACTTAACAACCGCGAGGAAAAAGAAAAAGAAGTATTGACTTCCAACTCTTTTTGTTGCAGTAAAATAAGACAATAACATCAAACCAAAACTTTTGTTTTGTTTTTTTCATAATAATATAAACTAGCCGTTTCTATGAGGATCTAATCGGTAAAACCCAAAATCAAAGCTTCATTCTTTTCCACTTCAAGCACAAAGTCCAGAAGCGGTTTCCATGTGGAAAAAAAAAAGTACTGATATCCTTTCCTTTAATCAAGACAGTCCATTTTGCCATTTCATCTTCTGCAGCCATCTGTCCATGGTAGGAACCAAAGCGTCCCTTCCATTTTTGTGCATATAATAATCTTGCTGATGTCAACATATATAGTGTCAAAGTTCTCTTCCTCACTTCCCCGCCGACCACTATTTTCCAATTTACTTTCTTATTTTGTATTTTATTTTATCTTATAACTCAATTTTAAAAAATGTTAAAAGTAAGAAGAGAGAATAAAGGCTGAACAACCGTGTTGCTACCTTGGCAAATGCTGTGATTCACTTAACAACTGTGGCAAGTAAAATTGTAAAGTGGGGCAAAATCACTTAACAAACCTTTCACTCTGCAACATAGATATTGGGCTCCGTTGCGATCATAACTCAAGGACTACCTGTACTCAAACGGTTCCTTGAGATGGTTTAATGCTTTCACCGAGCACTTCACTGGGCAATGGAACGTCCGCAAGAAAACAATCAAACTCAGAGTACCAAGGACCTCACTGCTTATATTTCCTACTGTGACCAAGATCTCTGCTTATATTGCTCTATTGAGCTACGGACAAATATACCTATACCCAAGGGTGGGATGCTACCAATTCTGCCCGGCTCTATAGAACCGGTAGCTCTGAAGAGCAGCAGACATCGAACCAGTTCAGTGTTTGCTACCGTTTGGCCCACCCACATGCCCGGGCTCTTATCTGTCTTTTATTTCCTGCTTTTTTGACCTCAGCTGCTTTGCGTGGCACAGCTGAGGTGGAAAAAGCATGAAAAAAGTGGCTTTTCAAATGCTGCGCACCTGCACGCAGCGCTTTTCAGCTGTCCGGGTGGCACAGCTTAAGGCTTTTTACACACACGTGCATGCACGCACATAGTCACCAAACCTGTAGTAACACTGGTTGAATCCCACCCCTGCCTATGCCACCAAAGTTGCCCATACCTCAGCAGAGCAATATAAGCACAGATCTAGATCACTGTGGGAAATATAAAATGATGGAATCCTTGGTGTTCTCTGCGTTTGGTTGTTTTCTTGCGGACATTTCATTACCCAAACTAGGTAACATAATCAAAGCTAAATGATGCTAAAAAAGGAGAATATTTGTAGCTCAGGGTTCAGGGGTCATTGGTGTTCTCTGAAGTTGGTTGTTTTCTTGCAGACGCTTCATTTTCCAAAGTGGGTAACATCGTTAGTGCCAGACTAGCTCGTTTGGGTAATGAAACATCTGAAGAAAACCACCACACTCAGAGAACACCAACGATCCTCATTTCAACCCTGAGCTACAAATATTCTCCTTCTTTAATTATAAATGGCAGCTAGTCAAGGTGCTTTACTGTAATGTCCTCAGTCTTTTGCATCTCGTGGGAATACAGGAGACCGTATTCCCGGAAAACCCTGCTCTCAAATGGTGATGAGGAGGGCCGGGGGTAGAAAATAGTCACCAGCAATTTGAGTTCTGTGGCACTTGAAAGAGGAACACTTTTAAATGCAGTGACTTATGGCCGTTTTTCAGACGACCGTTGCTTTTTATGCCAGTGACGGTTAACCTTTTCGGCACTGAGTCGCAAAGTGCGCGTGTACACACGAATCCCCTAAATTGCGCTCCACCTCTCTTGCGTGCGTGGCAGAGACCCGAAGACCAGCTGGCTGGCGGGAGGCGTGCAAATATGCGCAGTGAAGCTGAGCTGGGGCGACAGCTCACATCCCCCCAGAGGTTCACCATAGGTTCGCGTGCCGTAGGTTCGCCATCACAGGCCTATGCTCTTGTATATTTCTTCTACATGGTATCGGACGTCATGGCTCAATCAAGTAAAAATGGTGGGTTGCACTTCTATTGTAGCCTTCACCCCAGGGTGCCCAACCACCACTTAACCATAAATTCTTGATACTTCATCATTTTTGATAAGACATGTCAGAAATAAATCAAATAGGTTGTGGTTTGGAATAAAAATCATGACATATACTTTCCCTAAAGTCAGACTTCACCAAAACAATTCTCTTAATCACAGACAGCAAGATAGATTCTGCCCCCCGCCCCCGCTGTCTGTTCTTAATGACCAAATACAAAACATAAACAGGTGTGAATTATAGCGGAGCAATTTTGTGCCAAGAATGTTTATTTTCCTTGCGTCACCTGGGGAACTTCAATTTGTATATTAATGAAAGGCTGGCATAAAGTTACTTGGATCCATGTAATCTAAACCACCAATCTGTATTTTGCACAGGTTGGGAACGGGGAGGCAATAGATCATGTTTTTCTCTGCCTGGCTTTCCAGATTGGACTCCTTTGGGGGTTCCTGAAAAGAAGGCAAGGCCTCTGGTAATAGTACCAGAATATGATCCGTTACAACAGTTGAAACCTTGGAGTATTCTTTTGCATCTGTAGGCAGAGGAGCCTTTTCAGTTTTCTCAACGCTTTCTTTCTGTTTGGGTAGCACAGCCAGCGCTCCGTCACTGCTGACCTTGTGAATCTCTACATAATCCATTGGCTTCGTAGATGTAAAAGGCAGCTGCTCCAGAGAAGCTAACCAGAATGATGCCTCTTGATTATGCTGAGAGTTTAGAGACAAATTGGCTTCATCTTCCAGTTGGCTTGTTTTTACTTTGCTGATAGTCTGAATGGTTTTGGGAGGTTGAGAACAATGCTTTCCTTCACTTCTCCCCAAAATGGGTGACCTTTTTATGTTTGTGGCATTGAGTACCCTTTTGCAGATCTGTATGGCATCGTGAGAGGAATACTTTGGAGTGTGGGAGTGGTCTCCAGGCCATGTAGATGACTTTGGGCTCCTGTTGGCCAACTGTGGGAGATGCCTTTCAGGGTCTACTTTTAATGTTTCTGAAAGTTTTGTTCTATCGGTGTTCCTTTGAACCTCATCAGGATCTGGTACTTCTGCTGCAGGGGGCAATTTTCTGGCGTCCTTATATTTCTCTTGCAGGAGAGGCGGATTCTCACAGCTTCCTCTTCCTGAATCGGAGTCTATTTCCAGCCGTACATGTTTGTTGGGGTGACTCTTTCCATGATTCGGCATTAGCTGCTGGTCTTCGCTGTCGTCTATCTCCAAAAATTCAATCAACAGATCATCAGAGTCTGAAGTTGGAGGGAAACCTTGGCAGTCAAGAGCACTCAGCAATTCTTCAGATTTTCCTGCCTGGAGAAAGACGAAATGGACCCTGGATTACTATAAAAATGACATATTGCATAAAAATGAGCTGAATACATTTGGACCTACAGCAGAGGAAATGCAGATGTTGAAGTGGATTACATTTTGTTAAGCAAAGTGAACGGGATTGTTGAGCTATGATGAGGCCTGCACTTCGAAATGTTTATGGAGATAGGGTAAAACTATGTTTAATATTATGTAAAATGTTTACACATAACCACTGTACCCAGCAGCCGCATCTGACATTTTGAAGAGCCCTGAAGCTATAGTTTTGCCTCCCTAATACATAAATAGGCAATAAACTGATAGAGAATGTGAATTAAATGACAACAAACTTATTTTTATGAGTTATGAGTTATAGCAGGGGTGTCAAACTCAAGGCCCAAAGGGGACATTTGGCCTGTGGGGCAGAGGTGGTATTCAACAGGTTCTGACCAGTTCTGGAGAACCGGTAGCGGAAATTATGAGTAGTTCAGAGGACCAGCAAATACCACCTCTGACTGGAGATTTTACAGTCTCCTTCCCCTGCCATGCCTACCAAGCCACGCCCACAGGACTGGTAGTAAAAAAAAATTGAATCCCACCACTGCTGTGGGGTGTAGATCTGGCCCATGGGGCTGCCCTGAAAACAGCGAAGGACTGGCCTGCGGTGCCTCTGCCAGTGAAAACAGAGTTCGGGAGGGTCATACGCAGCCACCACAGGCGGCGACATGAGTTATGTCAAGTGGCCACACCCACCCCACCCCTGGAGGTTAAACACAACCCTGATGCAGCCCTCAATGAAATTGAGTTTGACACCCCTGAATTATAAGGATCATAATGAAGAAATAATTTATGTGAAAGAGATGTTCATGACACATGACACATTTGACCTGTTAAAGCAGCTGCATCTTTTTCCAGACATGTGGGATGTTTCAGAAGTTGCTTCTAATTCTTTCCAGAAGCGTTTGCCTTCATAGCTGCTTCGTATTCGAAATATTAGTAGCTAATATTTCATGTAAAAAGGTGCTTAGTATACACTCCTACATGTTTCAAGGCACCGCTTTAAAAATATTTGTATAGTAGTCTTATAAGACATATGTTATATGTTTGTCTCTTGAAAATACACAATGGTTTAATATTGTGGCTACCAAGGAGACATATTGTGGCACTGTGGCAAGCTCTTTATTAAATGTTGCATCGAAAATGAGATACGCTGGGCAACATTTAGACTGCAATCATAACTAAGGACAAGATAAAGTTCCCTATTTATACTCCATGTCCCCAATTCAGAATAGAACTTCTGTACTGGGTCTTCTTCCAAGAAAATCCCACTCAAAGGAAATGTGTTTGTATATGAAAATGGAGAATGGCTTTGCTTTTAGTTCAGGCAAATTAGCAATTTATTTATTTATTAAAGTTATATACCCGTGTTATATACAGGTTATATCCAGGTGGCACGCAGAGCCATTTGTGCGGGCACGTGAGCCCAGCCAAACTTACCTGCACTGAGCATGTGCGCCCCTCCCAGCTGATTTTTGGCCCGTTTGAGGCAGTTTTCACCCTCCCAGAGGCTTGAGGGAAGCCTCTGCAGCCTCGGGAGGCCGAAAAACGGGCTTTCCAGAAATATCAGAAGTGCTGAAATGGGCCCGTTTTCAGTCTCCCGAGGCTGCAGAGGTTTCCCTTGAGTCTCCAGGAGAGTGAAAATGGCCTCAAACAGGCCAAAAAATCAGCTGGGAGGCGCGTGCATGTGGAGTGCAGGTAAGGGGACAGGGCAGGGGAGTTGCGCGCGCATGCACAGGGGGGTGGGGTGATTGCATTGTGGGTGCTGGCACACACGTACTTTCAGCACACCACAACAAAAAGGTTTGCCATAACTGTTATATACCGTCCATCTTATTGTAGGGGACTCTGGGTGGCTTACCAAATCATAAAAGCCAAACTATAAATGTTTAAACATTCAATATTAGCAAAAATTAGATAAGAACCAGAATACAAATGGGGGTGGGGTGGGAATGGGGTCTTTTCTTAATCCATTAACAGTCTCCAGAATGGATTGCCCCTTTTGGGACCCCAGGCCAATTGGCAAAGCCAGGTTTTTAAAGACTTTGCAGGTGGGGGCTGATCTCACCTTAAAGGGCATGTCCCAAAGGTGCTTTTTTCAAGAGGCCACTGGACTTGCTGGTTTTTCTTTGAAGACGTTTCGATTCTCATCCAAGAAGCTTCTTCAGCTCTGAAGAAGCAGCTTCTTGGATAGGAAGTGAGACATGTTAAAAAAACAACAACAAGAAAGTCCAGTAGCCTCTTGATAAAACACCCTTGAGACAACCATGACCTGGATGACTGAGATTCTCCATAGACATAGGGGCAGGATGTTCCAGAGGGAGAGAGCCATAGCAGACAAGGCTCTTCTTTTGGACCCTGCTAGCCAAAATTCCTTGGCTGTCAGGATCCACAGCATGGCCCTTCTGCCAAAGCAAGTGGGGCAGGCCAATCCCACTGGGGTGAGAAAGTTTCTCAGTAGCCTGGTCCCAGAAGCAGATTGGCAACCAGTGCAGTTCGCGCAACAGAGATGTCACATGGGCTATCATAAGGTCCCCAAGAACTGGCTGTGTAGTTGTATTCTGTGCCAGCTGTAACTTCCAAATACTTTTCAAGGGTAAACCCACGTAGTGTGCATTGCAATAGTCCAAGTGCTCAGGGCATGGGTGATTGAGCATAGGGACTCACAATCCAGGAAAGGGCACAACATGAAGTTGGGCAAAGGCTCTCCTAGCAGAGAAGTTATCTTATTAATAGCAGAATAATAACAGCTGAAAAATTGTCCATTTGGAATGCAACATGTTTGTGGCTTGATGTTCTTTTTGGGTCAAAGAACATGTGACCAAAGTAAAACAAACATAAACAAGGTGTGACCAAGCAAAGGATTTTCACATTCTGGTGGTGAAGATCCAAACGCTCCTTTAACAGTTTACCTGTAATAATTGAGCATCCAAGCCTTTTATTTTTGGACCAGGAACTGGTGGTAGAAGGCGAGCTACCATCCTGAAATGCAAAAGGAAGACGGAAAAAAATGATCTTTCCATCTTATGTTAAAATACCATTTCTGAAAGCAACCACTGTAGTGGGAGTTAATTCCTTTTCCCAAGAGGAATGAACATAAAAAAACCTCTGCTTATTGGAACATTTTTAGTAGGGATTTTCACAAGATATAGGTGAGCCCTTCAAAGAATTGATATCAACAGAGCCCAGGAGGAGACTCTAGACCAGGGGTCTCCAAACTTGGCAACTTTAAGACTTGTGGACTTCAACTCCCAGAATTCTTCAGCCAGCATAGAATTCTGGGACTTGAAGTCCACAAGTCTTAAAGTTGCCAAGTTTGGAGACCTCTGTCTAGACATTGGAAGAGAGTTGTTATTCTATTTCCATCATCATCATCATCCTTTGGATAAGACTTTTGATGCAAGCAGGCACGTGTATATGATGCTTTACACCAATGTTTTCCAACCTTGATAACTTTAAGGTGGTTTGTTCAACTCCTACAACTCCCTAGCCATGCTGGAGTTGAGCTTCACAGATCTTAAAATTATTGAAGTTGAGAAAGTCTTCTCTAGACTTTCTGAAATAATAAGTTTCAGAGGGGATAAATATTTTCCCTCTCATCTTTTAGCTATTGGGCTCAAATAATAATAGCTTGATGGAAATTTTGTCTCAAGTGGTGTAGGGTTTCCTGTCTAAGCAGGGGATTAGACTAGAAGACTTCCAAGATCCTTTCCAACTCTGTCATTCTAATTATGAAATACTAAATGATTAAAAACTACCATTCAGTGGCATGGTATAGGTATAAGTTGCCTATGGAACATCATCTTTATATAACATGATCTCTGGCACCAGAAAATTTGCTCTGCTTCCTGCTCCTCAACTGACTGATTATTTCTTGTTAAATACAAGCCATGGCAAAGAAGCCACTGGAAGTGAAGTGGAAATTTCAAAGCTTTCTCCCCATGTTACTGATCTGTGAATAATCACATCAAGTTGCTTCCTTGTACCAAGCAGGAAGTCTATGTTTTGTCCTTCCATTCCTGCTGTTTAAATTTAAAAAAAATTGAGATAGCATGGATGTATTTAAGGAAGTTCTAAGTTGGCACTGACATTCTTAAAGACATATATCAGAGTTAAGATGCAGGATTTTGAATGCCGAAACCTGATAATGCGGTTTGTGTTTTAGAACAAAGGAATTGACTCTAGAAAACATTAAGTCGTTTGTTTAGCCATGAATTTCCGAATCAACACAATTAATTGAATTTGCACAACATGCTATGTCATAAAGTGACGTTTACAAGCCACAATATGCCAATCCCAAATCAAATCAATCATAACTTTATCCACCCCAATTTCAAATGCTGATAGTTTGGAAAGTATTATTTAAGTTAGTGGCTCTCAAACTTTTCTTCACCATGGACCCCCCTTTAAATACCTTTTATGGCCATGGACTATGACCACAGACTCCCAAGACTTAACTCAACATTTAAATCATAACATATCTTCAAGCCTTCAGGGACCCCCTGTGATGATATTGTGCCCCCTCCTCAAGAGGTCCACCAATTACAGGTTGAGAACCACTGCTTTAAATGAAAGAAATGGTTTCAGACAAGACAATAGTCCATTAGAAAGGAACAGTAACTCTTTTCCTTCAGTGCTAATATAGATTTTATGGCAGATTTGTTTTTGTGCATTGTGCAACATCTCAAGTTGTAGCTTACTTGGTTTTTTTCAAAGCCAGTATCCAGAGCAAAATCAAACAAGCAGCAATTGATAAAAAAGTCACAATGATCCAAACAACTACATCCTTTATGCTGATATCTGAGAAAGAAAACAGACTGGTTTAAATCACATGCAGTTGCACAAAATTTTGTTGTTATTTTTTTAACTTAGAGACGACATTTTATTTGCAGAGTTTTATTAAATCTCCACAATAAGTTTGTGAAGATAAATTATGGTGTTTGAATGAATCAAGAATATCAAGTTGACTGAACCATGCAATGCCAACAAATCTGGAGAACATCATAGTGGCCAACTACAATGGCCTCTAGAGGCCAATCTACATTAAACTATGAATGAATGAATGAATGAATGAATCGACTTAACAGTGTGTGCAAACTGCTGTACAATAATCTTTATTTCACCTGCTAGCAAAATAATGCAATACAGATAATTGCCCTGCATGGAAAAAGGTATCCCAAATGTTCAAGATGATTTTAGAAAGGCTGAGTTATAGAAAATATAACTGCAACTGTCAATACACAAGAAAGCCAAATATCAAAAAAAGAAGTCAGAATGTGCTTCATTAATTATACAAAGATCTTTGATTGGGTTGGTCTTTATGAAGTTATTGAAAGTTCTGATTTCCAGAACCTCTCATTTCCCTCATGAGAAACTTAAATACAGGCCAGGAAGTCACAATACAGGCTGAACTTGGTTAAACAGACTGGCTCCAGGTTGGCAAAAGAGTGAGAAAAGTTGGTTAATTATTCAACAGATTTGCTGAAGAGAGGAAGAAAAGAAATCCAAGAAGCTCCACCCATTCCTGTCCTCAGCATGCCCTCTGAACAAAAAACAAGGATAGCACCATACCCATGGCATGATAGAGAACTACCCTTCTTATGCCAATAAAGTTTTCTGCTGGCTCAAGAAGTAGAAGATAGTATTTAATTTTGCCGAGGGGAAAAGCCTTAAGATAAATTGAACTTGTTCTTGGCTTCATAAGCCTAATGCCAACAGAAGGCCAGTCAAAAGTTTGTCTCACCTTTTTGGAGTTTAATATAAGTTTTAGGGCTCCAGTTGCTCCAGATACCATGATCTGATCTGCATCGAACCTGGGCAACATATCTTTCTCCTGGATTCACACTGAACATCTTGTAAGACATCCTTTGCCCAACAAATATTTTCTGGAAATAAAAGAATATACATGAAAGAGCTTCTATACAAAACACAGAAAAAGCTTCTCTTCTTTAAAAAAAAAAAAAACAACAAAGTATAAGTAGCCCTTGTTTAATGAGCACAATTGGGATTGGCAACTTGGCTGTTAAAATAAGTGGCCACTAAGTGAAACCACAATGCTATCAACTTCAGCTTTCCTTCACTTTACAGACCTGCAAAAGTTGTAAATGTGAGGTCAAAAAGTTACCTTTTCATCAGTGGTGTAACTGCGAATGGTAGCTAAACAAGGCAATTGCTAAACATGGTCTATCTGCAGGGGTGGGATTCTACAGGTTCGCACCTATTCTCTAGAACTGGTTGTTAACGTTCTTAAGCAGTTCGGAGAACTGGTTGTTAGAAGAAATTATTGGCCTAATCCTGTAAGGAAGGCAGGTAGGAAACATTCTGGTGTTGCTTACAGAAACTGCATTAACCCTTATTACATTCTTGGCAGGACTAGACTTCCTGTCTCAGGAACTTCTCTGGAGTTTTTTTTCCTCCTTTACTGGTACTTTGCTTGTGTAGAGTGACCATTCAAAGTTACAATGGCACTGAAAAAAGTGACTTATGACCATTTTTCACACTTACGACTGATGCAGCATCCCCATAGTCATGAGAGGCCAGGCGACGAGATGCGTGCCTCGATGTGAGTGATACTGAGTTGGCCATGCCCAGGCAGTCACATGACCACCAAGCCATGCCCACCAATTAAGCCATGCCCGCAGAACTGGTTGTTAAAAAAATTGAATCCCATCTCTGTCTATCTGTATATTTTACTTATTCTGACAAGCAAAATTAATGGAGAAGTTTAGCGGGAGGTTGCAAACAGTGACCTTGTGAACTCACTTAACAATGGCATGGGATCTGCTTAATGATGGCAACTGGAAGTGTCAAAATAAATGTCACCAACCTGTATGCAGGGGTGGGCTGCTGGGCATTCGCAGGGGTTCAGGAGAGCCCCTAGTTAAGATTCTGTGCAGTTCAGAGAACCCCCAAATCCCACTCCTGGCTGGCCCCACCCATCCTGCCCCTCCCTCCCAGGAGTCCCCATGCAGGGACGTGTTTTGGATGCAGGTAAGTGCAGGGCGCATGTGATAGCTCAGGGAGCGTGAAAAACGGACCTCCCGGAAGTTTAGGAAGGCCATAAATAGCTTTCGGAGCCTGAAGAGGCCATTTTCACCCTCCCGGACAGTCAAAGAAAGCCTCTGGAACCCAGGGTGGGCAAAAATGCCCCTCCGCTGTGGTGCAGGAGGCCAACTAGGCCACACCCACCATGGCCAGGCCCACCCAGCAACCAGGTGGAGAACCTGTTGCTAAAATTTTTGAAGTCCACCCAGGGGTGGGATTCAAAATTTTTAACAACTGCTTCTGTGGGCGTGGCTTAGCTGGTGGGCATGGCTTGGTGGTCATGTGACTGGGAGGGCCATGGCTTCATGGTCATGTTACTGGCTGGGCATGGCCAACTCAATATCACTCACATCGAGGCATGCATCTCCTTGCCTGGCCTCTCATGACTGTGGGGATGCTGCAACAGTCGTAAGTGTGAAAAACAGTCATAAGTCACTTTTTTCAATGGTCACTCCACATAAGCAAAGTACCAGCAAAGGAGGGGAAAAAAACTCCAGAGAAGTTCCTGAGACAGGAAGTCTAGTCCTGCCAAGAATGTAATAAGGGTTAACGGAGAGGCAGTTTCTGTAAGCAACACCAGAATGTTTCCTTCCTGCCTTCCTTACAGGATTAGGCCAGTAATTTCTTCTAACAACTGGTTCTCCGAACTGCTTAGAATGTTAGCAACTGGTTCTAGCGAATAGGTGCAAACTGGTAGAATCCCACCCCTGAGTCCACCCCTGCCTGTATGGTCATGTGATATTGTGCTTTAATTCTTAGCTGTAGGAATTGTGACCCCAATTAGTATTGCTTGTTTGTTTGTTTATTAAAGTTGTTTGCTGTCCATCTCACCACAATTATTAAGTAAGGACTATCTATATTGTGTGAATGAGACTAGAGAAGTGTACAGTAAAAATACTCGTATACATGCATCGGAGCGTACTGTTTTAGGATATACTATAAACTGCAGCAAAAGCTTTATTTACATTACACATACAAACATAATAAACAAGGAAGTATTTTAAGTGCTTGCTCAGTCCCAAAGTTCTAAAGACACACCATTTTTATGGTTTATTATTCAATATATAGCGCAGGGCATGGCAATTATTATTTGTTATTATTTGACCATGGGTTTTTTATGACCTAAAAACATGCAGAACGTTTGGCCGCCAAGAGTGAAAACACTTACTTCCCACTCTTGCCCTTCTTCGGGCTTTATACGTAATTCATACTCCAGAGTTAGCCAGCCAGATTTGACATCCCCCCGAGAAGGTGGAGTCCACGTCAATAACACATATTCTCCATATACTTTTTTCTCAAATTCTAGGGAAAGATTTTCGGGAGGATCTGGCTGAACTGAAAAAAAAAAAAAAAAAAGAAGGACCAAGGATTTACAATTCACAGATAAACATGGAGGCATCGCTCAAACACTAAGAACTGGTCTTCACTCTCTTTTATCCTATTATGATGGAACATACAGAGAGCCTTTCTGGCTACTTGTATATTAAGACGTTAATCAAAAAGAAATGCTTCTTATTGTGTTATTGTCTCCTTTCACTCTTCCTCTAGACCAGAGGGAGACTGAGCTTTGCTGGCTGAGGAATTCTGGGGGTTGAAGTCCACAAGTCTTAAAGTTGCCAAGTTAGGTGACCCCTGCTCTAGACGAGAGGAAGACACCTCCTACAGCTAATTCCCTGCTTTCATTTAAAGAATCGGCAGATGCAAGTAGATGACAGTGTCCATCAAGAGGCAGCAAAAGGAACTGCCTTCTGATCATTTTCTCTTTCCCCAAACAAGGGGAAAGTCACTTCTTGACTGCGCCAACTCAGAAAGCTCAAACTGCCCAAGGAGCTGCTGATACAGTTCTACAGAGGAATTATTGAGTCTGTCATCTGCATCTCTATAACTGTCTGGTTTGGCTCTGCAACCCAACAGGACAGACACAGACTCCAGAGAGTAATTAGGACTGCAGAAAAAACAATGGCTACCAACCTGCCTTCCATTGAGGACCTGTATACAGCACGAGTCAAAAAGAGGGCTGTGAAAATATTTACAGACCCCTCACACTATAGAGCACTGCACACCAGAACAACTAGACACAAGAACGTTTTTTTCCCAAATGCCATCACTCTGCTAAAATTCCCTCAACTATTTACAAAGTCTGCACTACTATTACTGTTAATCTTCTCATCACTCCTTATCACCCATTCCCTCCCACTTGTGACTGTATGATTGTAACTTTGTCGCTTGTATCCTTACGATTTATATTGACTGTTTCCTAGTATGATTTGATTGCTTGTTGTACCCTAGGACTATTATTAAGTGTTGCACCTTATGATTCTTGACGAATGTATATTTTCTTTTATGTACACTGAGAGCATTTGTACCAAGACAAATTCCTTATGTGTTCAATCACATTTGGCCAATAAAAGAATTCTAATTCTAATTCTTTGCCACTGTTTGTTGCTGATGCAACTCAACTCCAGTTTGCGAATCATGGGTTCTCCAACAGGAAGAAGTGAGAAGATAAAGAAATGCCAGCAATCCACTGATGAGCCAGGATGAGGTGATTGCTTCAATCTCCAGGCTTTCTGTTTATACAGAGAATTTACTCCCTGCACAACCAGTTCGTTGTTGTCTTAACCTCATTTAATGTCTATGGAGATTCTCCGTCAACCCAGGTTATAATTGTCCCAAAGGTGCTTTTTCAAAAGGCAACTGGACTTTCTTTGTTTTTCCTTCAAGGTGTTTCATTTCTCATTCAAGGAGAGAAGAAGCTTCTTGGATGAGAAGCAAAATGCCTTCAAGAAAAAACAAAGGAAGTCCAATTGCCTTTTGAAAAAGCACCTTTGGGACTTAACATCACTTATTTTAATCTATTAGGTGCTTAACAAAGCTACCTTTGGCTGACTGCCATTTATAGATGATGCTCAATATGACGTAAAAAATTACAATAAGATGTGGGTGAATTCTCAGGACCTTTGAACATTCTGCTATCTTTCCTGTTCAGAATAATTTGTACTGCATACCTATATTAGCTACGTCCACGTAATAAGGGTCTGCCACACTACTCCCCATTTCATTCATTGCCATTAGAGTAAAATTATATGTCGTCCAAAGCGATGTGTGCTTTTTATCAAAGTAACAGGAGTTGGACCCCGCTGTTGTGTAGTCCGGGCATTCATAGTATTTTTTATCTCTGAAAAATGCAAATAGAAAAAAAAAGGGAAACACGTCAAACAGACTGCTGAAGGTATTGCTATTGTTTATCAAATTAGTAAGTTGTCCTATGGGGAAAGATAAGAACCAACTTCTGTAGAGATACAAAATTATGTAATAATCCATTTAGACTGGGGTGGAAAACGATAGCCCTTGTGGACTTCAACTCCCAGAATTCCTGAGCCAGTATGGCTAGCTTAGGAATTTTGGGAGTTGAAGTCCTCAAGTCATAAAGGCACCATGTTTCCCCACCTCTGATTTAGAGGATGATTTATATCTTTTACCTTTCTCTGTTATAGAGCAGCGTATAGTTTTTTGGGAGACTTCCCTCAGAGCTCGGCTTCCACCAGCAAGTAAAGGTTTCTTTTTCAGGAGAGCGACATCCTATAAAGATTGGCTTCCCTGGAGGCTGGTCTGTAAGAAAAAGGCCCATGTATTTAGTCAGTGTGCCTCATTTAAGTACCTCCAACTTACAACCATTTGTAAGTGACTTAGGATCAACCCTCCACTTACAATTGTTGTAGCATTCAGATAACAGATAACAGATAATCAGAGTTGGAAGATACCTTATAGGTCATCTAGTCCAACCTCCCACCCAAGCAGGAGACCCTACACCATTTCTGACAGTTGGGAGTCCAATCTCTTCTTGAAAGTCTCAAGTGATGGCTCTCCCACAACTTCCGAGGGCAAGCTGTTCCATGGGTTGATTGTTCTCACTGTCCGAAAGTTTCTCCTTATTTCCAGGTTGAATCTCTCCTTGTTCAGTTTCCATCCATTATTCCTTGTCTGGCCTACAGGTGCTTTAGAAAATTGTTATAGAGCAATTTTCCCACAGTAATGTGATCAAAATTTGGGCTTTTGGTAAGTGGTATGCATTTATGATGACTGCAGATTCCAGGTATTTATTATTATTATTTGCAACCTTCCCCGCCCACTCCCAACAAGCAAAATCAATGGGAGCAGCAAGATTTGCTTAAATACCATGTAGTTCATTTAACGAGAGCAGTGGTTCTCTTAACAACAATGCAGAAAGGGTTATAAAACTGGTTGCAACTGACTTTAACAAATGCATTGTTGAAAATGGAAATTTTGGTCCCAATTGTAAGTTGAGGACTATCCTGTATTAGCACCAGAATAAAGGTGTTTGGGAATAAAGGCATCTTCCAACCTGTTCTGTCTTCTTGTGTGGATCAATAAAGTTTAAGGCCAAAGAAACAGCTATTGGGCAGTTAGCTGTTGGTGATTCTTTAATAATTTACCCAGAAAAGATCAAAGTATAAATTTTGATCCTGTGCAGTTTTCAAAATTTCTTTTAGCTATCATTTCTTTCCTATTGCCAGGCACTCCAAGTACTTTCCCAACTAGATTTTAGCTATTTGATGGACTCTTGGTTTACTATGTATTTTTTTTATTTCTAACAATATGCTCTTCATGTTTTTTCTACCCCTGCCTTGTTTGCATTCTTCTATGCCTTCTTTTTTTCATCTGAGCAAGACTTCATTTTTTAAAAAGAGGATACTGCTGTCATGAATGAAAGCAAATATTTTGGCAGGGATCTGTTCTCCGTGTTTGCTGTTTAGCTCCTGAATGTTTTGTCATCAAACTAGGTAACATCTTCAATGGAGTTTTTGAGTAAAATGTTCTTGTTCTTTCCTTTGTTTGAAGGCAAATTTACATGTCCCAGGATAATGTTGCAGGATCTAATCTGGGTCGGCCATTATTTCTGTCTTCTTCAAATTTGCATGTTAACTATGACAATATTATATTGATTTTTTTTTGTACTTTTAAAAAACTGTGGAATAACTCTTTTTGGAATCCTTTTCAAATAAACTTCACGCCTCTTCTGTCTCTTCCTTTTAATAAAATAAACACATTCTTGGAATCCTCAAAGATTTGGGTATAGCTGTGAAGTTTGGGAAATATGCTACAGAAATATGCTGGCAGCAAATTCATTCCTCAGCTACTTATATGTGAACCGTTTGGCTTATATGAATCAGCAGTGTAGATTTTATTAAATATACTTGCATGCAATGTAGATGTCTATCCTTAAATATTACTTCAGTGATTTTTCAGGTCTACATTTTTGTCAAATATTAAGTTTCTGATTTTCCATGGCAGAAAAAATTTCAAGAGACTGACTCACCACTATGGAAGTGGATGTATCTTTCTGGGCTCCACACACTCCTTCCACCATGATCTGTTACACAACGAACCTGAGCAGTGTATTTCATTCCTGGATGCAACTGAGATATTTTATACTGCAACTGCTCTCCCACAAAGTAATTCTGCAAAGGGGTAAAGGCAATGGAAATTGTGAAAACTGTGGCATGTTCAAGTTTGAAAAAGTTGCGACCAAAATCATATGAATACATCAAATATATGGGTAATTTGAACCTGTATTATCTAGTCTTGGTTGACCTTGAAGTGGATTGATTTATAAGTCTTATCATCTCCTTCTAGCATGGCCAATAACATTATCTGGCAGTGTGTACAGTTTTATGGAAAAAACAACATTGGGAAGAGATCATCTGTTAAGTGTTTAATGCGCATTCTGGTATTTTATTTGGAGAGATGTCTGTGTACTTGGAATTCTCAGAAACATTTTTCATTTGTTTATTCTTCATTGAAGGGACTTGCTTCCTCATTGCTAGCATGACAATACCTCAAGAGTTATTCATTCATTTAAATGGTTGCTCCATGGTTGCTTACTTGAGAGATCAAGGAGATGCTGGCCTTGCATTGTATAGCCTTTCCTGAAGCAAAATATATTCATTCACACAGTATGTTTTATGTAGCCCTTTTTCATTTCTCTTCAGCATCAACCTACGCTTAGGAAATCTGCTTCTGCAAGCCAATTATGTATTCTGCCCTGCCTTGCAGCCCAGTCCTTCCTATCTACCTCAACTTTTCTTGTATACACGTGTTTGAATGTCAAGACATGTAAAGAATCAAACTTTACTGTGGTTTCAGCCCCATTTCTGAACTGAGGAAATTTATTTATTAAATTTAGGTGCCCTTTCTTTTTTTCTTTGTTAACATCAGTAGCAAAGCTATGCAACTTTCTTACCTCCCATTTTTTTCCTTCTGCAGACTTCAGTCGCAATTCATAATTACAAAGTGCTGAATCATTCACCCGCGGGGATGGAGACCATTTTGTCCACATATACATTATTCCATTTATCATTTTGATTTCCAAAGAAAGGTTCATGGGAGGGTTTGGCTTAACTAGGCAAAAGAAAATTCAAATATGAGTATTTTTAATGCTCTAGCCAAGAATTCCTTTTTTTACATTTCTGCATATCAGTCTTTCTCTGTGTCTGGGACCAGGCTCCAATAGTTTCAAAACAAATGATATAAGGTGCATGAGAGAGACTAATCCTTTATATAAGCCAGCATTATCCATTTATCCAGCTTTTCATCTTACGAATCTGGTTATCCGACAACTCTTTTAACTAAGATATTACGAATCACATCTGGGTCTTAAAACCCATGAAACTTTCAAATGAGTCATAGATCTTGTGTCTGAGATAATTCCAGTCCAATATTATTTTTCTTCTTGATTTTCAACAGAATTGATGACTAGCACTGCTGGCCTCTTCTATCAACATTGAAATTAGCTTTGAGAAAATCACGATGTTAAACTACTGTGCCACCTTCTCTCTTTCTAATTATAGAGCAAAATCAAAGCTTCAGTTTCATTTGGTTTCTGCTCTTACCCATTTCTTTTAGATTCACATAATGGGGATCAGATAAATTATTTCCTGCGTCATTGGTAGCTTTTACACTGATGTTGTATGTTTGCCACAGCCTGGTGATTCTTTCATTAAAGTAACAGGAATTGGGCCCAGCAGATAGATAATCTGGACATTCATGGATCTCTTCTTCACTGAAATATAACCATGTGAAGCAATAGTTAACGAATGTTTATATTTATAAAAAATAAATAAGCATATACTTAAATTATTTAAAAGAGGTATAACATTAACATGACTGTTGTACGTACGCAACATGCATGGGTGGGATTCTACCAGTTCGCACCTATTCGCTAGAACCGGTTGTTAACATTGTAAGCAGTTTGGAGAACTGGTTGTTAGAAGAAATTACTGGCCTAATCCTGTAAGGAAGGCAGAAAGGAAATATTCTGGTGTTGCTTACAGAAATTGCCTCTCTGTTAACCCTTATTACATTCTTGGCAGGACTAGACTTCCTGTCTCTCTGGAGTTTTTTTCCCCTCCTTTGCTGGTACTTTGCTTGTGTGGAGTGACCATTCAAAGTTACAATGGCACTGAAAAATGTGACTTATGATCATTTTTCACACTTACGACTGTTGCAGCATCCCCACAGTCATGAGAGGTCAGGTGAGGAGATGCAGGCCTCGATGTGAGTGATATTGAGTTGGCCACAACCAGCCAATAACATGACCACCAAGCCATGCCCACCACTTAAGCCACACCCACCTAACCAGTTGTTAAAAATTTTGAATTCCACCCCTGGCAACATGGAATTAAACTTAGCTGATATCCTTAGGAATGAATTAAGGTAAGAGCTCTGCAGGTCACCTAAACACCATTCAAATGTAGTAAATCACCACATCTGGTAGTTTGCCAGATCTGTTGGGAGGCTAACTGGAAATTCCAGGAACAACAATCTTAACATATAAAGAGGGACCAGGCCTGTAGCTTTTGCAACTTCACTTACAACAGTTTATTTAGTAACTGTTCGGAATTACAACAGTTCTGAAAAAAAGTAATTTATGACCATATTTCACACCGATGACCATTGCAGTATCCCCACGGTCACGTGATGAAAATTCAGGCCCTTGGCAACTGACTGATATTTATGACGGTTGCAGCGTCCTGAGGTCATGTGATCACCTTTTGCAACCTTCTGACAAGTAAACTCATTGGGAAATTCATATTCACTTAACAACTGTGTTACTAAGTTAGCAACTGCAATGATTCATTTAATATCTGTGGCAAGAAAAATAATAAAATAGGGCAAAATTCATGTCTCATTTCACAACAGAAACACAACACAATTGGGCTCAATTGTGACTGTAAGTTGACGACTGTGTATACAACAGTCATTTGTCCCTCATCCTAATCCTATTCTTAAAACTATCAGATCTGGTTGGTAACAATCCACATGGTCATTAGACTTTCAGTTGCACTGTACAACTCTGAGTAGAAAACATTTTGATTCAATGAACATTATTTTACCTATAGGGTTTATCAGTGCCTTGTTGAGTTTTTACAAGCTTATGCTTCAATCTTCAGGGATGGTATCTAGTCACTCATCTTTTGTTGGCCTTTTTTTTCTAACTGCCTTCCATTTTTTCAAGCCACAGAGTGTTCTCTAATGACTCTTGCATTTTCACTGTTTTTAAAACATGGGGGTCAAACTCTCTGCCATCACATGACATTTCGTGATATTTTTCCCCTTCATGGAGCTGGGGCGGGTGTGGCCTGTGCATGAGGCATCCGGCCTGCAGGCTGCCAGTTTGACACCCCTGTTCTAAAACATTTATACTTTAGCTTCATGACTAGTGCTTCAAAGGAGAAGTCTAGTATTAATTCACCTATTATTGAATGACTTATTCTTTTAATAGTCTAAAGCAGGCTTTCAAACTCCCGGCCTGTGGGCCGAATGCATCACGTGCTGGCCACGCCCACACCCAGTTTAGCGAAGGGGGGAAAGTCTCAATATATCATGTGACAACGCCGTGATGACGTGAATTTGACACCCCTGGTATAAAGTTTTGTAACAATTTTCTCCAACATCACATCCATTTTTTTCATTCAGCCTTTCAGATGATACCCCTGACAATACATGACTTCGATATGTAAATTATGCCTGTGGTATGTTCAAATAATCCTAATTTTAAAATTATGGCTTAGACTTGTGTGTTTACAGGCATTATATTACTTTATACATAGTAATCTTATTCTTACCTTCATTCAACCTATGTGAAGAACAAAGTACATAAAAATTATTGTCCCCTCCCACTTTCCCATATATTCTTACCCAATGGTGTTGTACAGCAAAGTATAATTTGTAGGAAGACCCCCATCTGAATTAGGTTCCCATCGACAAGTAAATGCTTCATTTCCTTGGAACAGGCAACTTACTATTCTAGGTTTCCCAGGAGGAGAGTGTCCTGAAGAATTGGAATAATTAAATCAATTATTCTTAGCAGAGTAGTTACAAGCCTAAAATATGGACTTGAATTTGACTTGGTAGCTACTGTGTTCATAATAGTTTATTTCTATCCTGATTTTCTCTCCCAAAAAAACTAATAACATCATACAGAAATGTGTATCACACTGCTAAAATACAAATATAAATGAGTATTAAAGCTATAATAAAGCTACAGTGTCTCAAATTCAATATTTAAGGGGACAAAACACAATTAAAACCAAGGTCTGGTAAAAATAAAATCAAGGAAAAAAGAGATCACCTACATTCTAGCCCATAATGTGCAGACATGTTGCAAGTAACAAACAGCTATTACAATATAACAAACACACTTTTGGAATAGGCATTTGCAAGGTTTCTGCCTCACTAGCCTCAAGTCAAGTCTTAACAGGTGTTAAAGAACTGGACATTGCCATGGTCAGACTTTGTTATTGAAGAAGCTACTCCAGCTGAATCCATGGGATGTTAGCCTCAGGAGATACCAAGCCAGAAGTCACCTGAGACTGATCAAACTCTGAAGCAATTACGATATAATCTCCACGACTTGGCAAGTCAAGAGGAGACCAGAGCAAAGATGCTCATTGAGGCTCCTTGCCAAGCAAGGGGGAAACTCTTAATTAAAGACAGCTGTTTGCAGCCTGATTTAATGCCAGCCCTCGCCTAAGTTTCTCTGTTGGAAACAAAATACATTGAAATAACCAGAGATGGCCATGGGTACAAATACAATGACAGCTCTGTGGCCCCAAGATTTTGTAGAGTTGTATGCAAAAATGAGTCCAGCAAACACATATTCATTCATTCAATAAATGCCATTGCAAAAAACAATCCCAACCACAAAAAAACTTCGCTCAAGACCAGACTTATCCATATTGCAAAGAATCTGCTCCCGTGAACTCAGCGCAGGACTCAAAAACTGTCTAGACAATGGAGAAAAGGACCTATACATTGACTACAGAGCTGATTGCATCAAAAGAAAGTCACACAACCCACAACCCCGCATCCAACCCCACCCCATCCAATCCAACATCACTCAAAACTAGGCATGCACGCCCCTAACTACCTCTATTCTGACCACAACTGGCCTTAAATGCAAGCTATTCAATGCAAGAAGCCTTGTAAATAAAATACCTGAATTTCTCCTCTTACTAAATATGGCTAAATTCGACATTATATTTGTCTGTGAATCATGGCTCAACACATCTCTCCCTGACTCTATTACCACAGTAAGAGATTATCATGTTTACCAATCAGATCTTGGAATCCGTAGAGGAGGTGGTATTGCTATCTTCTATAAAAAGTCCTTACATCTAAAAAACATCCAAGTTACCCAGGAGCTTGCTATTCCTGAGACTATTGTCTGTGAACTGTCCTTAAATATCACATTTCGGTTCTTACTATATTACAGAGCCCCTGATTATGACATCGAACATGCAAACAAGCTAAATACACTACTAACATGGGCAGCATCCTGCCCACATGCTTTTATCTTTCTTGGTGACTTCAATCTACCTCATATTAACTGGACCCTTAACGAATGTACAACTGAACCCACACATGCAACCTTCTACAATGCAGTAACAAATCTGGGACTACAACAACTAGTAACCAACAACACTACACTTAACAACTGCCTCGATCTCATCTTCTGCAATAGTTTGAATTCAATTTACGGAATACAAATTAAACAACCCTTTTCCAACAGTGACCACAACATGATCAACTTTTGTCTCAACATACGTCCACACAAAAATAATCACAACGATGGAATCCACAATTATAACTTAAAAAAAGGCAACTATGATCTTATAAACAACAATCTCTCATCTCTTGATTGGCGATTTCTATTCTCTGGATGCAATACTGTAGAAGACCATTACAACATATTTTTACTTGAAGTCAAAGAGTCATCAAACTATATGTACCATTTACAACTCCCAAAACCAGAAAAAACAAATTACCCAAAACAATAAGGAAGCTTCAATCCAAAAAGAAATCACTTTGGTGGAAAAACAAATCTGGTCACGTTGCCAACCTCAAAAGTTGATACAAAAATTTATGCCACCAGATAAAAACAGAATGCACCAATTATCACATTAAACAAGAAGAAAAACTTCTACGCACCAATTCCACCTGCACTTTCTACAATTTTATAAACAACAAACTAAAGGACTCAAGGTCCACCCCCACCCCTGAAACAACCTAATGATAAAGACTACAACGACGATACTATTAAAGCCAACCTCTTTAACACATTCTTTGCCTCAGTATTTGTAAACAGCAATGGATCATGCCCAGTATTTGCTAGTTGAACCACAGACAACTACACAGATACAACTAATACAGATCAATTTTACAGAAGACATTGTTGAAAAAGCACTATGCAATCTAAAACCATCTCTCTCTATTGGACCGGATGGAATATGTGCCTACTTCTTAAAAAAGCTACCCACTGCCATAGCTGAACCTCTAAACATAATCTTTGAAAAATCTTTTAGGACCAGCTCCTTCCCAAAACTATGGTCACAAGCCACAGTCATCCCCATCTTCAAAAAGGGAGACCCCAGCCTAGTTGAAAATTACAGACCAATCTTTATACTGCATCACCTGTAAAGTCATGGAATCAATTATTAACCAATCCATTATCCTACACTTAGAAACAAACAGCCTACTCTCTAATAAACAATTTGGTTTTAGGAAAAAACTATCCTGTAATCTGCAACTCTTACACTGCAAAAACATATGGACTACACAACTCGATCAGGGCAAAGCAATAGATGCAATCTACATAGACTTCTGTAAAGCCTTTGATTCAGTGGTACACGACAAACTAATCCTAAAACTAAAATCTTAGGGTATCTCTGGACGTCTGCATTACTGGATAGAAGCATTCCTGTCAAACAGACAACAAATGGTCAAAATTGGGAGCGTCCTATCAAATTCTGTACCTGTCAACAGTGGTATCCCCCAAGGCACTGTTCCAGGACCAACTCTTTTCATACTCTACATAAATGACCTCTGTGATCATATCAAGAGCAGCTGCGTTCTCTTCACTGATGATGTAAAGCTATTCAACACCACAGACAATACTGCTACCCTTCAAAAAGACCTTGACTATATATCAGAATGGTCAAACAAATGGCAACTTCAAATCTCAACAAATAAATGCTCTGTCTTACATATTGGCAAAAAATATCAGAAAATAAAATACAGGCTGAATAGTCAAGACCTTGTTGATGATCCAAACTCTGTCAAGGATCTTGGAGTACTCATCTCAAATGACCTAAGTGCTAGAGCCCACTGTAACTACATAGCCAAAAAGGCATTAAGAGTTGTTAACCTAATCCTACGTAGCTTTTTCTCTGGTAATATTACACTAATAACTAGAGCATACAAAACATCCAATACTCGAATACAGCTCATCAGTCTGGAACCCACATTATGTATCTGATATTAACACAGTTGAGAAAGTCCAGAAATATTTCACAAGAAGAGTTCTCCACTCCTCTACTCGTTGCAGAATACCTTATGCCACCAGACTCGAAATTCTAGACCTAGAAAACCTAGAACTATGCCCCCTTTGGTTTGATCTAAGTATAGTATATAAAATCATACCTTGCAATGTCCTACCTGTCAATGAATACTTCAGCTTCAACCATAACAACACAAGAGCAAACAATAGATACAAACTCAAGGTTAATCGCGCCAAACTTGATTGCAGGAAATACGACTTCAGCAACAGAGTGGTCAATGTCTGGAATACTCTACCTGACTCTGTGGTTTTTTCCCCCAAACCCCAAAAACTTTAACCTTAGACTGTCTACTATTGACCTCACCCCTTTCCTAAGAGGTCTGTAGGCAGCGTGCAGAAGCGCACCAACGTGCCTACCGTCCCTGTCCTATTGTTTCTTTTATATTTTTTACAATTTTTCTTATATGTATCCATGTATTGATAACTATGGTTTTACTTATATCCTATTATCTTGTAAGCATTCGACAAATAAAAATAAATAAATAAAATAAATAAAACTATTTGATTGCATACTGTGGTGTATGATTTCTGTGAATTCTGCTTATGAAACTGGCTGACAAATCTGTCTGAACATTGGATTCGATTTTGATTACACTTTTGCGTATTGCTACTGAAGGTGAATCTAATTAGGCCAGCTTCTTTTCCCAGACAAATTGTTGGTTTACATTTCTTCCCTTGTCTGCTGTTATCTGCTCGACCTTGATCTGTTCCAGACTAAGAGCGTTCTCAAGTTAGCTTTTGAGAATATTCATATCTGAAGACCGAGCATCAGAAAAATGCAGGAAAGCTTGGCTCTGTCGAGAAATAGCTGGTCTGATATTCTGAATTATTCTGCAGTATCCTGATGAAAGAAGCAATTCTCGACTTTGAAATGTTACTGGAAGAAAACTAGTTGATGAATGATTCTGTGGCTTTCATCTTAGAACTCCTAGCTGCAAGGACCTTACATGGAATTGACTCATTTTTATCTTCTGACTTTCCTTCTCTCCTTTTTGTACATTGCTTTCTGTGAGCCAACTTGGATTATTAGAATTTTGAGATAAACCTACTAGATTTACTATAACCTTAAGCCAGATAAGCTTTCCAGTCTATGAGGCTAGCCCAAAGACTCTTATCTTGTGAAACTTCAGATGAAATGTCTACCAGGACAAAAGCATGGCAATCACCAAATGTTTTAAAGCTACGCTGGCAAATATGGCATATATGACACAAACCAAAGTTTCAGCAATGTATATTTCAAGCTCTGGCAATAAAAGCGAAAGTGGCAGCACAACTTTGCTGTGACAAATTAGGAATATTCAGTGTAAAAAAGCACAGCTGCTGCTTTCTCAGTAGATTGTTATGGTATAACAGATGGACCAGCAGATATTAGAACAATTGCCAAATTCAAATTGCAGTTGCCAAGGCTATACTTCCAGCTGCTTGGCTTCTCCAGTTATACAATAACAGATAGAGTATTTTGTTGTCTCACTTTAGTATTTTTCCAGAGTTCTATTTTCTAAAGTTTAAGCTTCCCCTAATCAGATGCTTTTCAGATCTGCTGGACAAAAAATCACCATCTCTCAAGCAGCAAGGCTTCCCAATCAAATGTGGGATTTATGCAAGAAGCCTTTAGTTTTTGAACATATGCTAAGTTTAGCTAACGCTCCTTTCTTTTACTCATGAAGTTTAATTTATCTGCTGTTAATAAACTGTTATGCCAATAGATGAATTGCACATATGTATGCATGTACAAAGTAAGCTAAAGATATGAAAGAAATTTACATTTAAACATTCTAAAAACATTTAAAGGTGGGCCTGTTTTATTGTTGAAGATAATTTTTGCTGACATTTCATGATAATCCAATGAGATTACTAGTAACAATTTAAATATCTCACTTTTTCCATGGTGCTCTATGTTTAAATGAGATCTGTATCTAAACTCACTCTTCTTGGGGTCTATAATTATCATTTCAATTCCATGATTTTGGAAGAAAAGATAATCAAGATGATTCTATGGCCCTATTTCTCATCTTTTTATTGATGATACTGAATTGTTATTTTCCCCCTCTAGTTCAAATCTTTGTAGCTACCCAAAGGAAGGAGGCTAATGTAGTGTGTATTGTTGCTCCTTATGTTCTTAGTGCTATGCCCAAAGCAAACAATGTCTGAATAAATGAAACTAGTAGAAGACTACTGCTTAAAACAAGGACATTAGTGAGCATCTAACTGTGGCTAAGGGTGGTATGACCAAAAATCAGAAATGATAGAAGTCACAACAAACACCTAGAACCAGCTTTGAGGAAAAAATAGTCTAGACAACTTGAGTATTTAATGCTTCAAAGCTATACAACCATATTAGAACACTGAAAGCACAGCATGAAATATATTAACAAATAAAAATACAATATTTAGTTTTAGTTTAGTTTACTTTATTGTCATTGCACCTCGTACAATGAAATCAAACACCATCTTCAGTTCACATCATGACTATGAAAATAAACACAAACACACATCCTTCACCCTTCACATATTGAACGGGAAACCCCCAACACCACACCAACACTGCACTATACAGTGGAATTCAGCAGAGCTACTACCCTGGGATAGAAGCTGTTTTTCAGCCTATTTGTCCTTGTTTTTATTATTCTGTACCATCTGCCAGATGGTAATAGTTCAAAAAAAGGGTGCCCAGGATGAGATGGATCTTTGAGAACGTTTTGAACTTTCTTAAGGCAGCGGGAGCTATAAAGCTCTTCCAAAGAGGGGAGAGGGCAACTAATGATCTTCTGGGCGATGACATTAACCTTCTGGAGTGCTTTCCTATCTGCTACTGTGCAATTGGCAAACCATACAGAGGTGCAGTATGTTAACATGCTCTCTATGGTGCAGTGGTAGAAGGTCACCAGCAGTTTCTCATTCAGTTGTTGTTTTCTGAGAAGCCTCAGGTAGTATAATCTCTGCTGGGCCCTTTTGACCAGGTCTGCAATGTGGGCACCCCAGGTCAGGTCCTCTTTGAGGGTAACACCCAGAAACTTAAAACTGGCCACTTGCTCCACTCGGTCTCCATTGATAAGCAAGGGCTGGATGTCTGATCTGTTCCTTCTGTAATCCACTATAAACTCCTTGGTCTTATTGGTGTTGAGGACCAAGTTGTTGTCTCCACACCACGAAAGCAACCAGTCCATCTCATCTCGGTAGGCAGACTCATCCCTCCCAGAAATAAGTCACACCACTGTTGTATCATCTGCGAATTTAGCAATAGTATTACTAACGTGAGCGGGAATGCAGTCATGCACATAAAGAGTATAGAGTAAGGCACTCAACACGCAACCCTGTGGTGTACCAGTGTTAAGAATAAGGGCTGAAGAGGTATGATTACCTAATCTGAGCGGCCAGACAGGAAATCCATAATCCAAAAGCAGATTGAATTAGAAAGCCCAAGGTCCAGAAGTTTAGACACTAGTCTATGTGGAAGAATTGTGTTAAATGCAGAACTAAAATCCACAAAAAGCATCCTCACATAGCCCTCCCGCTGATCTAGATGAGTCAGAGCAGTGTGAAGAGTGATGGCTATAGCGTCCTCTGTAGATCTACTTTTTCTGTATGCAAACTGGTGTTTATCAAATGTATGCAGAAGACCAGAAATGATGTGCCAGCAGACCAATTTCTCAAAGCACTTCATGATGATAGGAGTGAGTGCCACTGGTCTGTAATCATTGAGGTTATTGATAGGGAACTTCTTTGGCAGCGGAACAATGGTGGAAGCCTTCAAACTAGATGGAATAGTGGACTGGGATAAAGACCGATTGAAGATCCTGATCAGCACAGTCTTTAAGCACCGTCAGGACTGGCAGCCTTTCTAGGGTCCACAGCCCTCAGAATGCTCCTCACCTCCTGTTCCTCTACAATGAGGTGGGGGCTACAACTGGCTGGCAGTTGTGTTTTATCTGTCTCTGTTGTCTCCACTTCAAAGCGAGCAAAGAAATGATTCAGTTCCTTTGCCAATAAAGCCTCCCCCTCAGCAGGGATGACATTGGTCAGTTGATGGTTTGTAATCTGTTTAATCCCTCGCCACACCTGTCTCATGTAATTGCTATAAAAATTATCCTCAATCCTCAATATAAAAACATAGCAGCAGACCGAAGAGTTTAAAAGGTTCTATGAAATACTTGCATCTAACATTGTACAGTAAATTAACTTACTAACATGTTAAAAATACCAGAATTAAAATGTTTGACATTAGAAAAATAATAATGCCAGGAATACCTTATTGGGGTGGTAGGATACTCCAGAAGTAAGGAGATGGCAAGGGGTGATCATAAGTAGCACTTATTGCATTTGTGCTTAACATAACATCTAGCGCATGGTCTCTGATATTATTTAAGAAATGTTTCTCAGTCTTGGCTACCTTAAGATGTGTGGACTTCAATTCCCAGAACTCCCCAGTAAGTATAGTTGTTTGAGGAATTCTGGGAATTGAAGTCCAACTATTGTGAAGCAACCAAGGTTGAGAAACAGGAGATTGGAAGGGGTTGATGACTCAGTTATAGTTTCTACGAAACAGACTGAGTGGGGTGGCAGATAACCAGATTTTCAGGTGGTATTATACCAACTGAATACTAGAAATAAAAGTTAAACATTAAGAACTATTAACAGTAGAGGCAGTTGTATACTAAATTATTTTAAAATTGTAATAATAATGAGTAAGAAAGACTGAGCACTCACCATCAACAAGCCATACACTGAGATACGGTAACAGAACAAATGCTTCTAATATTGACTGCCACAGCTTCATGCCTGCGCCCACTTTCACTTCCAGAAAGAAATTGGAATTCACTGGGAAATGAAATAAGATGTAATTGTTTATGACACATATCTAGAACAGAATAGCAGAGTTGGAAGGAACCTTGGAGGTCATCTAATCCATGGAAAATATTCCATGGGCCCTATTTTCAAAGTATTGTTTTCAGATAATTTAAAGGATTGATTAAGCATTTGACAAAGTTTTAAATGAGATTTCAGGAGAAAAGATGGCATGGTATGAGCTGGACTGTCTACCATTAGCTGGACACAGAGCTGGTTGAACAATTATACCCACTGAGTCCCCCCCCCCCCCCCACTAGTTCCATATCTCACTTGAGGGAACTGTCAAGGAGTCAGTACAAACTGCTGAACTTATTTCTAAATAATTAATATGTGAAGTTAGAAGATACGTTTATCAAATCTGTGTATTGTGGGTAAATAGATATGGGGGGGGTGGGGGATGGGGCGCATGCGGGAAGATGTGTACACATTCACAGGAATGCACACACATTGCATTTTGGGGGGGTTGCGTGCGCACACATTCATGCACGCGCACCTGTGCCTTGGGCAATCGGTGCCAAAAAGGTTAGCCATCACTGCCCTATATCATTTCAGACAAATAGCTGTCCAATCACTTCTTAAAAACTTGAATTCTAGCAGAAACAAATGCAGAGTCCTTCCCACTTGAGTAGGGGAAAAAACATTAAATATGTGAATATATAGGATGTGGGTGATACTAAAAACACATCTGCAAAGAATTCTAATTAGCGGGGAAAATTAGAACAAAAAAACCCTAGCAGACATCTGAAAGCAACAAAAAAGATATAATTTTCAGTTCTACATCACATCTGTGGTAGGGTATATGAAAGACATTAGACACATACCTTCAAATCCTAACATATATAGCAACAGAAAGCAAGTCAGCTCCAGTTTCTGAAGATGGTGGCCTTGAGAAATTTGTGTTTACTCTTAATTTTCTCTAGCTTACCGTACATATCCTTTTCAAAAGATTCTTGCCTTTCTTTACACAGCAAATAGATTGGAGTTCCTCAAAGCAGCTATAAAATTGGTTTGATTTCAGTTGCTATCTCAAATCACTGTATTATATAGCAAGGGACTCACATCTCTAAGCATGAATCTTGCAAACTAGGCTGCTTGGTTCTGGCATAGGTGAATGCATGCAACAGCTTCATTTCAGCATGTTTTTTTTATGTTGAGAACAAATGAAATGTTCTTGCAAGAAAATATTTTTCCATTTGAATTCTTTTAATTAGAAGGAGGCTAATCTGACAAGAGAAACAAACAGCAGCAGAAAGGTCTGATGTTTTTATTTATGTTCATATTAGACTTTCCCAACACTGATACTCACTCTGTAATTATTTTTTTAAAAGTGCACTTTCTCAAATTGTTTTTCTTTTATCTGAGCATTTTTATCTGAGCACTGAGACTTGAGTTTTCAGTTGCTAATTAGTTCTTTGCTTTCAAATTTGCATATATGTTCCTGAACATTTTAATAGACCTTTTCCAACACTGTTTCTGTCCCATCTTTCAATATTTTAAATAATAAATTTATTTTTTAATTGTGCCTCGATTCTTTTTAAGTCACCTTCCTGATTTAAAATAAATCCCATTTAAAAGGAATGACTTAAGTCCTCTATGCTTATACTTGTGGCTAATCCTCTTTTATCCCAACCCCAAAATTGCCAGTTCTTTCCTGTCATTGACCTGGATTAGACATTACATAAGCCATTGAAATAGTTAAATATGATCTGTTAAATAACCCAACATTAGCTAGTCACATACTGGATTAAACCATTCAATAAAATTTTCATACTATAATAGATCCATATTGCACACTTAACTAAAAGCGGACACATCACAATGTATACATCTAGCCATAATGTTCCTTCACATTAAAGTCAGGATGACTTATGACACATAAAAGACCAGGATTTCAACCACATGTTTGTAGCTGCCATCTTGACCTTTCTAACTCACTTTGAGGATGCCTCTGGGTAGTGCAAGCTTTGCCTCATCTTACTCAATTATTAGAATATTGCTCGTTCTTGATGGCTCCCTTTTTAAACTTTATTTGGATGTTTAGAATTCAGGCAGAGAGAAAATCTATTCAATTACACGACTGATTGCAAGCCATCAAGTAATTGTTGACTGCTAGATACTATACAGATATATTTTCTCCATGACTATTTGTCCCTGACCTGGTCCTGCAGTTCCTCCACTGGTGTCCTGATCATCATTGTAGTTGAGACCATCCATCTTGCCACTAGTGATTCTCTTCTTCTCTTCTGCCCCCCCCTCAAAAAAAAAAACATATTTCCAGCATTAGAGCTTTTGCCAGAGAACTGGGTCTCTCTATAATGTGCCATTTGATGAACTTGGTCCTTTGTGCTTCAAATGAGAAGGGTTGATTTTTGTGTTGATTCCTTTGTTTGTTTTCTTGGTTGTCTATGGTATTCTCAGGAGTCTTCTTTAACACCAATTTTCATGAGCATCAGTACTCCTCTTATCTTACTTCAAAATCCAGCTTTTATTTCCATAAAGTCTCATATGAAATATCATTGATTGCATGATTCTGATAGGAACTCATCCTGACATTTGAATAACTTTTCAAAGGTCTTCATGGCTGCTCTATCAATGCTAGCCTCCAGAGTATTTTTTTGAATGCTTGTTGTTGGTTGATCGTAAAAGGAAGAAGCTATCCACCGCTATGACATTTTCATTGTCAGTGAATGTCTATTCAGGTAGAAGAAGTAAACATTTCTTAAGGGTAAACTTTGCCTTTGATGCATAAGCTTATTAGAATACCAAAGCAATGTACATTGGGGTGTACTTTGCCCTATGAAAATATTCTCCAGTTTTGTTTGAAATAACATCCCGCAAGTATTTTCCTTTTGTTTTCCAGCAAAAATTGCTTTTAAACTCTTTTTTTTTTTTTGCTGTTCAATGTTCCAGTATCTTCAAATGGAATAAATATTTTATCCTACAACTGAGAAATTATGGTCAAATTGAATTACTGGACAATTGACTTGGACTTAAATACTTTAAAAAGGGATAAAGAAGATATAAAAGAAGTGTTTGAAAATGGCAGAGCTTTACTTGAAACTAAAAATGGAACTAAGAAATATAAAAAAATGCTAAATGAAAGAAATGAATCGTGCTATATTACCTTACAATTATTAGAAATGGTGATTCGGGGAAAGAAGAACAACAATGAGTGCTAGCAGGAGAGGAGCTAATTAAAGAAGAAGAAGAAGCCAGCTTCAATGAACAAAGGGAGCAACGACCATCAAAATGGGAAAAAAATGGGAATTAAAAATTTGAGGGTTGAGGAGGCAATTAAAAAGGGAAATGTCTTGAAAGCCAAACAAAGAAAAAGGAAACAGCAGAAAAGGGAATTACAGAAGAAAGTCTTAAAGAGGGAGGGGGATAAAAATTGGAATAAGAAAAGGAAGGAAAAAATGAAAGGGAAAAGATGTAATAAGAGAAAGAACCAGAAAATGAGGAGATATGGAAATCAAACAAAAATAATTAGAAATTGTTTAGTCAGGAGACATAAAGACAATGGGTAGATAAAGATCAAAGAAAAGGGATTCTGCAAGGTAATGTGTTATAATAAATAAGAACGTAGCTTTTAAATGTGAATGAAATTGATATATATATTTTCTCTTTGATTGGCTTTTTATTTAAGGATTTAGAAAGTAATTGAGGGGAATACCATGTGGAACCTTGCTTAAAATATATATATATATATATATATATATATGCACATGTGACATATAGTAGTTAGAAGATTATTGTTATTAAACTAGAATGTGACAATTATATAGGGATTATATTATGACAAATTTTGATTATGGATTGAACGGGAATAAATTGAGGGATGTATAAGAAAAAGGGTGGCACACTCTAATTGATATTTAAAGGGGGAAATTTTGGGAATTATTAGATTTAAGATGGAATTTATTGAATAATGAAATAAAAGTATGTGACAAAATTGCAAATATGACAGATAAAATATAAAGGTATAATGAATTTAGAATTAAAAAATAAGAATGTTAGAGTATAGAATATGATTTGAGAACATTCATAGAAAAAGGAATTAAAATAAGATATACATTGAAAATGAATTTAATAAGTGTAAAGAAAATAAGAATAATGGAGAAAATTTACTGGAAAATGGAAGTAGTGACATGATATAGAATTGAATGTGAAAGATAAATATTTACTAAGGTCATGTTTGTATTGAGTGTAAACCTGGAACCATGTTGTTCACTGAAAGAGATGTTTTTAAAATATAAAAATAATAAAAATTTATTTTTTTAAAAAAGGATCACCTGAGTGGTGCAAATGGATGTGTGGAACCTTCTGGGAACTGTTAAAAGGATTGTGTTGTAGATTGGAGATAGATGATGTCGTATCCTTCCCCTTCTGATGGGCTCTTTGATCCCCTCTTTCAAACCAGCGGTCCTCTCTGTCCAAAATGGGGGCTTTGCTGTCTTTAAATGCAGGTGGACTGATGAATCTAATCCTGATGGGTTTGTTCTTCTATGTTGTGTTCATAAACGCATGGCCCAACATAGATGTGGAGACTGACTCTGAGGGAGAGGAGGAACAGCCGTGTGGCTCTAGAGGTGGTGGAGGAGGTTGGGGATGGGCAGAGGCCGGCTGAGCAGTCAGAGGAGGACCCAGGCCCATCCCCTATCCATCCTAGGGCATGCAGGGAGGAGAGGGGCTATGATCCTCTTCATGGGTTGCAGGTATGAGATCTGCATAAGAGTTTGGACCTGAATGCTAACAAACGCCGGAGACAAATTAGTGTTTTATTCCTGGATGAGGTTTGTCTTGGTTGGTGTTCTTCCAACGGACTGTAACTGGTTATCTTCCTGAAGTTTGTAATTATTTATCCTGGTCTGTTGTGGAACTTTCTTCAGTGTGGTTTGTTTTTGGTTTTTGCTTCGTTATCTGCTCTTTGAATTTGAACTTTCTTACCTTTGGAATGTTATTTTGAAAATAGTTTAATCTTCAACTGTG